GTAGCTGTTGTCGATGCGCGCCAGGCGGGCACTCCCCCCCCCCCCCCCTCCCCCCCCCCCCCCCCCCCCCCCCCCCCCCCCCCCCCCCCCCCCCCCCCCCCCCCCCCTCCCCCCCCCCCCCCCCCCCCCCCCCCCCCCCCCCGCCTGTGCGCTCGCCTGCTCAGCCGCCCGTCCGCCCGCCATGGATTTCCTCCTGGCCGCGTCGTCGTCGTCGGCCCCCCCCGGGGAGTCGGCCCAGGTGGTCAAGATCCTCTTCTGGGTGGCCTTCCCCTTTGTGTGCTTCGCCATTGGCCTGACATTCTTCAGCATCTGGGAGCACATCAAGAACTACCACGTCCGGCGCCTTCAGCGGCATGTCATCCGCATCCTCTTCATGGTGCCGGTCTTCGCGGTCACCGGCTGGGTGGGCGTCATCGATCCGATGGTGTCGCGCTACTTCGAGCTGGTCACCTCCTTCTATGAGGGCTTTGTGGTACTGTGCTTCTTCTACCTGCTGGTGGGCTACCTCGGTGGGGAGGGCATGGTCACGCGGCGCCTGGAGCGCCGGCGTCAGGCCTCCCCATCCGACGACCCGGACGCCCTGGACCTCGATCTGCCGGAGGGGTTCCCCTCGGCCGGCGACACGTCCAACGAGGCGGGCGACGCCTCATCCTCCAGCTACCGCCAGCATCCGTCGCAGGTGAAGCCCGAGCCGCTGTGTCTGCCGCGCGTGGCTGTCTTCGCGTGCGTCGGGCCGCCCTCCCCATGTTCCTGAATGCCTCCATCGCACGTTCGCCGCTGCCGTCGCCGCTGCCGTCGCCGCTGCCGTCGCCGCCGCCACCGCCTCGTGCATCTCCTCCTTCATCGCGCGCCCGCCATTGGCGTCCGACTTCTGGCCAACCGTCCTCGCCCTCCCCCTCTGACACACTCTCTCTCTCTCCCTCCCCCCTCTCTCCCCCCTCCAGGCGCATGTTCCCGTCGGTTAGCTACGACGTGCGCGTCTTCTTCCGCTTCCTCAAGCATCTGATCCTGCAGTATGTGGTCATCATGCCGTTGGTGCGTCCCTCTTGCTTGGTGTCTCTCTCTCTCAGCCCCCTTATATCCCCCTGCTGCTCGCACGTGCATACTTGCCCCATCACTCACTCACCCCCCCCCCCCCTGACCACTGCTGCTCCACTCTTGACCGCCGCACACGGGCCGCGCGCCGTTCTTCGTGACGTTCCCCCCTCCCTCCCCCTGCCCGCAGATTGCCGTCATCCAGATCTCCTTCGACATCTACTGGCTGTCCAAGTACCCAGGCACCTTCGATGCGCACACCGTCTACACCGTGCTGAATATCATTCGCATGGTCTCGGTGACCCTGTCGCTGCTTGGTCTGCTGCGCTTCTACAATGTCTTCGGGCCGGACCTGCTGCCCTTCCGCCCGCTGCCGAAGTTCCTCTGCATCAAGGCCGTCATTTTCTTGTCCTTCTACCAGCGCCTGCTGTTCCAGTTCATCGAGTGGGTCCTGCCGGCCGACAGCGGCATGGCGGTCAGCGGGCACACCATCAACTCCTTCATGATCGCCATCGAGATGGCCGGCGCGGCGATCCTCCACATGATGTACTTTTCCTACAGCGATTATTTGCACCTGTCCTCGCGCTCGGAGGACCGGGCTGATGACCGCCTGGATGCGGCCACCACCACCACCGGCGGCGGCGGCGGCGACGAGATGTTCGTCCGCTCCACCGGTGGCCCGGAGCTTCGCAGCCGCGCCGCGCCGGTGGACAGCATCCAAACAACCCTCCTCCGGGGGTACGCCCGGGCCCTGCTCCATGCCTTCTCCTGCGATGATGTCCTTTCGGACATCGGGGACATGCTGTGCAATCGTCAACCCAGTGCCGGAGCTGGCTCCGGCCGTGGGGCCGGCCGCGGCGGGATGGATGCCTCCGGGGTGTCCTTCAACCCGGCGGACGATGGGAACCGCTTTGGCATCGAGTTCACCAGCTTCGGCGAGACGCACCAGCCCACCGGGGACCTGGAGATGGTTGACGACCCGCTGGGCCCGGTGCCCGGCGCTCATGTCGCCTCCGCCCCCCTGGACCAAGGGCCAGCCAAGCAAGGGGCCGCCCTGCCGTATGGTGCCGGGTCATTGGATGGGGACCACCTCGAGGAGGATGATCTCTTTGCCATGACCCCGGACATGACCGCCTCCGATGTGCTTGGCATCGGCGACGTGGAGGTGGCCCCGGTCCGGCACCCGGTGTTCACCTTTACCGCGGGTGGCGGGAGCCCGAACTCCGGCGGCCCGGCTGTCTGATGCGGCGCCATGTCGCGCGTGTGCCGTGCGTGTGCCGTGCGTGCGTGCGTGCGTGCGTGCGTGCGTGTGTGTGTGTGCCGTGCGTGCGTGTGTCTGGCGTCTGGCCGGGGCTGCCGCTCGCCCCCCGGTGCATTGGCATGTCGCCCCCCTCCTGTGGTTCAGGCCCCAGGCTGCGAGCGAGGGGAAGGCACCAGTGGCAGGGGGCGGGGCCGTATGCCGCATGTGCGATCGCATCCGCGCCTGTCCCTCCCCCACCCCGTTCCCCTCATGCACACGCGCGCGCACACCTACACACACACACACACACACACACACACACACACACACACACACACACGCGCGCGCGCCCAAGAGAAAAGGCTGGCACCAGGCCGCCAGGGGGCCGAGGGTGGGGATGTACAAACATTGACGGCCGTGGCCCATCACCCCGTTCCTGGTCGTTCCGCCCGTCCCCTCTTGTCGTCTGGTTTTCATTGGCCTCCCCCCCCCCCCCCCCCCCTGCCCTCCCTCGTTCTTTCACCAAATCACCCCCTTCCTGTAATTAATAGATCACACCATGTTGGTACATGTACAGATCCGCATGTCCCCTCTCTCACCGTGTTGATGGGCGGGGTGGCCTTTCTCCCTCCCTCCTACCCCCCCCCCCCCCCCCATCAGAGCACCGACCGGCATGCCGGTGCAGAAAGCAGAATATGCACTGCCACGTGGGTACCCCTGTCCTGGTCTCTCTGTCTCTCTCCCCCCCCTTCCTCCCCTCCCCCGCACACATGGATGACATCGGGCGGTGGTGATATCATATGGCTGGAAGAGAGGGCCGGGCCCGGACGCTTGCCGCTTCTCGCCTGCCACCGCGCGCCCGGAAGGGCCTCAAGCCGGTGATCGAATTCCAGTGGAAGTCATGCGCCGGGCCCACGGCCCCCTCCCTCTGTCTGAGCCCCCCCCCCCCCCCCCGGGGCCCGAGTCTGGGGTTCAGACTCTTTGAATCTGAACATGGGGCGGATGAGCTCAGTGCCTGGGGCCGCGTAAAGTTGTGGACTATTCCGATCCATGCCCCTTCCCCTTCCCCCCTCCCCCTTCCGTCCCCCCGCCCCCGCGCCCCCCCCCCATCGCCTCCCTGCGCCCGCCTTCGGCCCCGGGCCCACTCGCGGGGGGGCCGGTGTCGGGTCCACGCGACAACCTGCCACCACGGAAGAGGCCGACCAGCCAGTCGAGGAGGGGGGAGAGGGGGGGCGCGGAGGCTGGGTTGTCCCTACCCCGGGACCGCTGGAGTCTGTGCCCCCTTCCCATGCTGGGATCGGCAGGTGTTAACCGGTTGGCTCGGGTGGTACATTAAAGGGCCTGCACCCGGAGAGGGCGCGCGTGTCCACGATGTTACCTCACCCACAATCCCAATCCCTCTGCCCAGGCGTTTCCACCAATTTCCCCCTGGCACCCGTTTGCCTCTCCCCCGGAGGACCCCCCACCCCGCGCCCCTTGCCCGCCAGTCCGACTTGCCTCCTCGCCTTCCGGCTGCTCTCTCGCCGATCCCGCGCGGTACCCGCCCCGGCCCCCGCACAAGCCCACACAGGAGTATGAAGCTTCGTACTCTGGTGCTCGGGGTCCTGCTGCTGGCGTTCCACGCCGCGCGGGCCGACCCGGCTCTCTGTGGAAAGTACAGCCTCGTCTCGTATGAGGGCCAAATCTGCGACAGCACCCATTCCTGCACCCCGTCGCTGTGCGTCGCCCACCTTTGCGCAGAGCACCACGCCGTGGCCAGATGGGCTCGCGTCTGACCATCTTCTCGCCTGTTTCCCCTGTTCAACCCGATCTCCCCTGCCGCGGGCTGTCGTTTGGACACGCACCCTCACCCACGCTCTCGCACGCACGCTCTCGCGCGCACACCCACACCCACATCCACACCCACACCCACACCCACACTCGGACAGATACTGCAATGCCGGGACCTGCGAGCAGCGTCTCCCTGCCGGCGCCACTTGCCTGACCTCGGGACAGTGTGTCCGGACCGCGTCCTGCCGCGGCGATCCGGGCCTCGACACAAAAACCTGCGTCCCAAATGCCAACCTCGGTGCGGCCACACATGCCAATATCTCTGTCCCCCATGCGCATGCCGCCGCTGACCTCGACCGATCTGGGCCCTCGACTCCAGGCGAGGCCTGCTCCTCTTCGGACATCAGCCCCGGGGCCCTCCCGGCCTGTGCATTGCCTCTCGTGTGCGATCGCTTCACGTCCGTCTGCGTGGGCGGCTACAAGGGCGACGTCTGCACGGCCGGCAGCCAGTGCGTTTGCAGATGGGCGACCCCCACCCCCCGGCCTTTTCGTCCCTCCCACAATGCGGCAGCCTCCCGACAGGGAGTCTCGGACCTTCTCCCCCCCCCCCCACTAACCAAGTTACTCCCTCTCGCCCCCCCCTCCCTCCCTGCTCCGCCCCCCGGTTCACAAACACAAAGATGCCAGTCAGAGCAATGTACCGGAGGCGTGTGCGAGGACGTGTCCTCGAACACCGAATGCAACGGCCCCCAAGCCTGTGGTGGCGGCTTCCAGTGGTTCTGCGAGACTCCCGACAATGTGTGCGCCGAGGCGCAGGGCGCCGGCCAGCCTTGCACTCTGGCATCCATGGGCCCCGGGGCTGCTCCCTGCGGGGTGGGCCTCTTCTGCGGGCGGTACAACTCCTCCGAGGGCGCCGGCGTCTGCCTGAAGGAGGGCGAGCTGAACAATGGCGAGGAGTGCACCTTCAACCGGGCCTGCAAGTCCCTGTCTTGCAATGCCTCCACCGGCAAGTGTGTGCCTGCGCCGACGACATGCCCCTCGGCCACGACCATCGGCGGCCCGCTGGTCGGGGGTCTGGCATGCTCGGAGAAGGATCTCTGCGCCTGTGAGGAGGCGCAGGAGGACGAGGCCGCCGGCCAACGGGCCGGGATTCTGGCCGCACCTGGCCCCGGTAGGCGGGTGCTTTTCCGCTTGTTGGATCGACTTGACGTCGGGGGCGGCCGGCTGACCGGGACCACGGCCACGGTCACCGCCCTGGCCACTGGCCAGTGCAAGGAGAATCCCTGCTGGAAGCAGCTGGAGGTGCGCGGCTTCCCCCACAAGTGTCCCTTCGCTTTTCCTGGTGCTGCCAACGCGCTGGCACACTCGTGTCGCCGCCCCTCCTCCCGGGCTCTCTCTCTCTCTCTCTCTCTCTCTCTCTCTCGCTCTCTCTCTCTCCCCTTCTCTCGTGGGGAAGGCCACCTCAGCATGTCGTCTAACACCGTTCCTGTCTCGGTCCTTCTCCGTGCGCCTGGCGATCGAAAAAAAAAAGCAACTCGACACCTGCGCCATGACCAACTGCAATCAGCGAATTTCCGCGGGGCGGTTCTATTACTCGGGGAGCTGCGTTCTGACCAAGTGCCTCAGCTTGTACAACAGCTACAACCAATGTTCCATGCTTGTGCCGGTGTGGCCTACTCCCACACCGACGCCGACACCCACACCCACTCCAACTCCAACTCCGACACCGACACCGACACCGACACCGACACCGACGCCCACGCCCACGCCCACGCCTACGCCCACTCCGACGCCCACGCCTACGCCCACTCCGACGCCCACTCCGACGCCCACTCCCACTCCCACTCCCACTCCCACTCCCACCCCCACTCCCACCCCAACGCCCACTCCCACTCCCACTCCCACTCCAACGCCCACGCCCACGCCCACGCCCACGCCCACCTCCACGCCTGCCCCGTCTCCGACGCCCTTCCCGATCCCTTCCGGGGCGCCGCCAATCTTCGCCAAGCACTATATTTTGGCCATGGTGTTGTCCTTCATTTTCGCGATGATCTGATTCTCATCAGCAGCCCATCACATGCACAATATAGGTCCACAATACTAAATCCCCTGCACCACCGCTCACTCACGTGGCATACCTTCAAGGTGTCCTCCCCCGGGGGGACGGGCTGCGGGGGGCCGACGCACTGGCGTCCTGCTCCTTTCCGTTGTCCGTGGGCCGCGGTGTCTCTGGTGGGGGGGGGGGGGGGGGGGGGGGGGGGGGTGCGCTCTGCGCGCAGAGATATCCTGGGGCGGGCCGGTGAGACCTCCCTTGTCCTGCCCCCTTCGGTTTGGTGTATCCTTGACATGGTCCCAGGCGAGAGTTGTCCGGGGGGGGGGGTGTCTCCCGCCGCCATCAGCCCGCGCGCCCGGAACAGAGAACTCTCTCTCCTTTGCCGGCTTTCTCTCGCCGGTGCCAGGGGCGAGGAGGACCGGCCGTCCCCGTAAAGGAGGCTGACATGTTCAACCCATTTCTCCCGCGGGATGGGGGGACTCTCCATCGGCCCGGTCTTCGACAGGGGCCAGCATTCGGGGTCCGGGTGCGCGAGGGGGGAGGCTGGGGGCTGGGAGCCTGACCGGCGGGCCACACGCCCGGAAAAGCCCCCGCCGTTGGCTCGGGCTGGGGGCAGCATGAGGGGGGTGCCTTGTTGTTGTGCAGGAAGACCAGCGGACTCCTTGCCGCGCTTCCCGGCTGCCCTTTTTTCGGTTAGCCGTTGCAGGCTAGAGGCCGGCCGGTGTTGGCGGATTTTTGTCCAGCATGCTCTGCTCACTGGCGGCCGGGCCCCGGCACCAGGCCCGGGGCCCCCTAATTCTGTGATTCGTCACGTCCGGAGTCCCTGTGTTGCGCATTCGCTCCCGTCCGTGTGCGCCCGGGGCGGCGGGGCGGCGGGGCGGCGGGGCGGCAAAGACAAGCCTGCCCCGGAAGGGCATGCGGAGGATCGCCCCTCCCCCCCCCCCCCCCGGCGAGGGAGCGGTTATTCCTTTTATTTTGAAAAAAGGCCTGCCCTCTCGGCGAGCGCGGCCCCGGATCCCGAAAAACCGCCCAGTGGTTGACCTGAAGGGGGGGGGGGGGGGGGAGGGGCAGACGCCGGCGGAGGTATGTCGCGCTCGTCCTGCTTTTGTGGGGCAGCGTCCTTCCAACACCTTCCAGCGGTTGGGAGTGCCCACCTCGGCTGGGGATGCCCGTATTCCCCCCCTCCCGCTGTGGCGGTCTCAGGTGAACGCGCACTCCCTTCACAGCCGAAAGTCAGGGGAAGGGGGGGCACTCTCCGCCCCCCCGCCGACCGGCGCGGCAGGGGCGCGCGCCCACCAAGAAGGG